CAGTCAGATGCATTCAGATCAGATTTCAAGTTTTTGTGATAGCAAGTCTGTCCCTCCTTCTTGTGCTCTCTTGAGTTTTTCCTCACAAGACTATGAGAGAGTGCGGCCAGGATGGGGTTTTTGCCGTACATGATGGGTAGCTGATGATCACCCCCATTGTATTTGACATCAAACTCTATTGGAATTCAGAGGTGGTGTAGTATTGACAAAAGACGTGAATTATCATAAGCTAAAATGATTTTGATTCTGAGCAGTCGGACTCGTCAGTTGTCTGCCTTCGTTATATGATACAGTATTACTCTCATATTCTTACACTGTATGTGACAGTAACATGTATTTGTACACGTGTTTTTACTAGGAGGGTTTCAAAAAGGCTATGAAGATGGTTGGGGAGGAGTTCCTGGACCGTCTGGATTTCTACCAGTCCTCCTGGCTGCCAGCTCGCACGGTGGTGGAGGATGCTGTTAAGGAGAGGCATCAGGTACAAGACTGCGCAAGCTAATGTGTACATTTTTGTTCTGTTGTCCTTTGTAATCATTGTAATTTGGCACAGGGTCCTTGATTGTCCATCGTTCACCTCAACAGTATATTGGTTTTCTCTTCTCTCTCATGTGTTCCCCTTCTATTAAATAATTTATATCGTGTAAACTGGGTATTGTAATGTACAGTATTGATGTATTGGTAATACAAAAAATAATACCAAACATCTCCAAATAGTTGTTGGTCCATCATCTGTAATAGAAGGGGGATTCCAACAAATCTTTACTTACATCCTTTGTGTTGCTCTCAATGAATTGGGAGATAAATGGTGAAATTGCAGTTTAGTATGGAGCCACAACAGAGCCTTTAGTTTTTGACTTTGAAAAACTTTTATTATCTTTTTAAAAACTATTACTATAGACAATCGGGTGTTTTTTTTTTTTTTTTTCGGTTTTGTTGAGGGAAGGGATTTGAGGGGGCTGCATGGTTTCCATATTTAGTCCCTGTGTTGTTTTTCCCAGGGGGAACGTTTTCCAATATTTTTCTTGTTTTCATTTTTTATTTCAATGGCAAATTGTATTTTTTCGGTGCCAAAAACTAAAGACTCTGTTCTGGCTCCATATTTTAGCTCTAATTAGATCACATCCTCTAGTATTATTTATAATCTTGTTGATAAACTTAATCATAAAGTTGTTCAAGCAGTTATTATCTTTTCTTTGTCCTTATTTTTTCTTTTAACAAATCTTAAATTACTCAGAAGAAAAAACATAAAAACGTCTCTACTCTCTCTACTAAAGCTGAAGGTCTCCACTCTTTGTGTATATTCACATTAGTCACCCAGTTTACTGGTTCTCCTCCCGTTTCCAGGTAGATCCCAGTGGGGAGGTAGTGTTGTTCTCCCAGGGCGGTTGTCCCTGGAAGGAGCATCTGTTTGCCCTGGAGAAAGAGCTCCAGGTGGAGACACCCATCAAGTTTATCCTTTACCCCGACCAGAATGGACAGTGGAGGGTCCAGTGCGTCCCTGCCGGGCTGAACACCTTCCAGAACAGGTGCGAGTTCACCCAAAGTCCATTTTTAGATACATTTTATTCAAGGTTATTTAAATGCCATTTCTGCTTCATGGTCTCAGCTTGTGATCTCATGTGTGGAGAGAAAACCTTGCATGAGTTACCTTAGCAGATATCAAACATGCAGAACTCACAAGGATGTTGTGACACTGACTCACACACACAGACACACAGACACACACACACACACACACACACACGAAATTCAGGATTTTTTTTTTTTTAAATGTTGGTGGAAAACACAGTGACAGGCATAGATCTGGAGTCTCCCAGACGTGTTGAATTGAGTTGAGCTCTGGTGACGGAGACGAGCCATGGTGTATGATTTAACTTTCATGCTTATTGGACCATTTGACAACTGCTCACGGAGGGTTTGACGTGTCATCCGGTGAGAGACTAACTCCTGCTTGGATGGGAGGACTTGTTTGTAGGATGAGGATGATCCTTTAGTTAAGGCAGAGGTTTTGATCTCACATTGCTCTCTAAGGAGCTGAGAGGATGTAAACAGTCCCGACACCCGAGGCCTTTCTCCATGCCCACCCCTCAGTCAGGTGTTTCCTTTTTGTTTTCCTAGTGTTAATTACACCCTCTGCTCCAAATACAGGAAGCAGGCAGATATACAGTACATGCTGATTGTGACAGCTTTTATTTACAGCCACTTACTTAAACATACTCCAGGATTTTTATGAATGTGAATCAAATGTGAGTTTCATTCCTATAGACCAACAGCGTATTTTTGAATACACACCATTGTCTCCTCGTAACCAGTACTGGGCGGTATGACCAAATATTTCTGTCACCATTGTGCATGCTGCTGTTGTTGCGTAGCATTTCTGCATCTTTTAGCAATAATGAAGCCCCTCAAACCTTCAAGCTACGATATGCGTGTCAGTTTGTCAGATGATTAACACACTCTCAAGTTTGTGTTGGTTACCTCTGGAGGGGAATTGTTTACCTGAGGTGCGTCGCATACTCTAACCCTCAATGCCTCTCTATTAACGTCATCATCACCACTGGAGTCTTATACTTGTTTAACTACTGCCCTAAATCACAGCATACAGCACACATGATCAGTGTATGGAAACATGCTCCATGCTTATCATGAAAGACACATTTTCAGTTTCATCTGTCACCACATACTGACTGAACATTAGCTATTACATAGAATGCCCCATTTTATATTTGTGACAGGACACCTCTCCAGCCGCCATGCTGCTTCCTCGATGTTTTTTCATGCTGGATTTGGTTGTCATGCTCTAAGGTTAATGACTTGTGCCGTGATATTGATCCCTGCTCTTCAAAGTGGTAGCAGTGACCATGTGTACTTGAGCAGCAGTGACTGAAGTGGAAGAATATTGGTAGTGATTTGTGCTTTTCAGATGTAGAGGCAGCAGGCTTCTCATTTATAGCCTTATTCTCATCGATTGTCACTGTTTAAGATAAGACAACATCACCGGCAGCACATTAGATTAGCTGTAGCTAATTAACGTTAATTCGCTAACAGCTAAAATAAAATGTTTGGATGTTCTCTGTGCAGCTGGTGTCTTTGTTTGCCAAGGATCGTTTGTGAGTAAAAAAGACTCATCGCTCTATAATGCTCTGTAGAGTGGCAACTCCTCTCTTACATGCATTTAATTAACATTTCATGTTGCGGTGCTCATCATATTTTCAGGTTGTAGTTAATCAGATTGTGACCATGAATTAGGCTGCTAATAAAAACTGTTGAGCTTCCTCCTTTTCCGGCCAACAAAAGGTAATCAGACATTTTTGAGTTGTAGTTATTTTTACTTTTTAGTTGAAAGTGTTGAAGGGTAAAATCAAATAACATTCGAGAAAGGACTCCAATTTGATAAGGGGATTAGATGCTGGATTTAAATTTGATAAAGTGCCATCAAACCTTGTCCCTAGCATTGCGATACCAGCGATTGAAAATTGAAGCTCTTAATGGAGATAATACTTCAGGGGATGAGGAAGGAGTTGACTGCTAATGCAAACCGAGAAAGTAATATGTTGCCTGTGGATCAACTAATGAAGTTGGTCAGACTCAGTTTTTTTGTGTGTTCATATGAATCATAGAAAATTTAAATGCACTTTATTTTGCCTCCATCTTTAGTCACACAGACAACTTACTGTCCTTTCACTTCACTTACTCACGTAGGCCTACATGATCATAAAAGAATCTGCCAAATGTTTCCACATAATACATTCCGCAATTGTTCAGGGTCATTCTGTTCTTTAGAAAATTATATTGGCTTTTGCACAAAACAATTAAACTCATCTTCTGGTTGGACATTTTCACTCTTATTAGTTATTTCCCCTGGAGCACAAATCATGCAGCTTTCAATTTTTTTGCGTGAATAATTATTATTTTGACTTCTATTTTATATATTTATCCCAACCCCCCATCTAAATGATTTTAGAGAGCAATTTTCCCTCATGGAGAAGCCAGATGCAATCCAGATTAAATCCCGAGGGAAAGTTTAATACAAAATGTAATGGTTTATATAAAAGACAGCTTTGTTAACAGGCGTGAAAAAGAAGATAATTTTGTTTACACCTGTGACAAGCTGTGACATTTTCTTTATGATTTCTAGTCTTTGGATTGATTTAAGAGATACAAGTCTAACTTTTTTTTTTATCCTTGAAAATTAGCTTAACCTTACCTTGTTACACAACACTTTTACTCTTTTAGTCTTATACTTTGTGTACTAACAATGACAAATAAATTCAATTTCCTGTGACTGCTTCAGAATAAAGGCCACTCTGTGTTTTGCCAGTTGAATGCTTTTTTTAAACCTTGCAGAAGTAGCAAGTGTTCGGTTAGCCTTAGCAGCTCTGATACAGCATTAGAAGAGAGAACAGTAAACCGTGAGGCTTTTTGATAAAATTAAAAATTTTAAAATGGGATTACCTTTGTGTATTGTTTCCCGGGAATCTCTTGTGCAAATTTTAATCTGGCACTAGAATGGCGGACTCCGCCAGTGACTACTATGTTGCTCTTCATTTTTGTTTTGTGGAATTTTCCCTATTTGAACCAAGGGTCTCAAGATGAAAGGTGTCATATATTGAGATAAATTTGTTATTTTGGTGTGTGACATCTCAGATATACCTCATGCCAGGCTTAAGACCTGTAGATGGTCTCTAACCCTCCTCCACCTGACCACCATGCTCTTCAAATGTCTTGTTACCCCCCGACAGTATGTGCTGTTATGCTGTTATCCTGTGTTTTACATGTCTCATTGTTGATACACTGTGGCTTGCCCAAAGACACAGGAAGGGGGTAGAATAGCGTTTTGATTCAGTCCAGTGGGTGCTCTGTTACCTGCCTTCTATTTTCACCTCTTTCCATGAGGTCCTCTCTGTCTCTCTCAATGTCTCTTTCTCTTATTTACAGTACTTTGGTCTCTGTCCTATAATCATCCTCTTCCATTTCATCACCTTTCTTCCTATCTGTCTTGCTTTCTTCCCCATTAATCCTATTTCTCCCCTGTCATCCACCTTCTCCCCTATCTCGCTGTCTCACCTTTCACACCTTCCGCCCCTCCCTCGCCCCATCCCTCCGCTATACTTTTTTCCACTCCGCTGCAGAATCTCATCAGGCGGCAGCGCTTTCAACTAAAAAGGCAGGCACCTGCTTGTGGTCGCAGAGCACTTCAAAGATTTAATTTAATGCAAACATAGCAGTTGGTGTGAGGCTACATCAGAACAATGGCTTGTGAGGTGGATAAAAAAAACATATATCCAGATGGCTCTTTCTCTGGGTGGCCTGCTTCTTCCCCGTGGGCATGTGCCGACTCTGCGAAAGGGGTGTTGTTATCACCTGTGTCCCTGTGACTGCACCTGGGGGGGGAAAGGTCTATTTTTATCAGTATCACATTGCTAAGGAAATGTGAGCCGGGAGAAGGAAGAGAGGAGTCGAAGCAACCCCTTCCTTAGAGATGTAGTGTATAGGATAATACTGTAGGTTGACAGCAATATGAGCCAGAACACATACCTCTATTCCTAGAAAAAAAACACACTGGCTGCTGTCACTGTTACCTACTGTGTTTTTGTATTAGAGCTGCAACGATTTTTTTAATTATAAGATATATATATATATAATCAGAAAATGGAGAAAACTTTTGCACAAGCAGAAATCCTAGATTACTTCTTCCCCTCTTAACTGACAAATACTCCAAAAGCTAAAGATAGTCAATTAACTGTTACAAAGGTGAAAGAAAAACAGCAATGCTTCACAGAAGCTGTAGCTAAATAATGTTTGACGTTTTTAGCCACTGATTATTTTTTGTCAGTCGACAAATCAGTTAAACTAACCATTTCAGATCCAATCTGTGTGACATCATAATTTATAGGTAGATAAAAAGCCATCTTGTTTCTTCAAAAGGAGCCAGATTATGCATGTTTTTTTCCTCCCTCTTTGGCCCTCTGGTGATATCAGTTTGCTAAATCACCGGTGTGGCCCCTGTTGAAAGGAAAAAGAAAAATGTGTGAAGTGTGTAAAATCGCCAAGATGGTTGAATTATGAGTCGGCAAGCTGCAGAAGGATTCAACACCTCTGCATTTATACAAGTGTCTCAGGTTGTCGTCTTGGAGAGGAAGACTGAACAGAAGGCTCAAGTTCTGTAAAACACCACTAAACACATGCTGTTGATATTTTATGTTTTAATTACCTGTTATCTCCGGTATATCTAATCCTGAGTATTATACTTTTTCCTAATGAAGCACTAATTCCCAGTGTCTGCCTTATTATGGTATAGTAACGGTCTTGGGCGGGTGAGAAGTTAATTTGCTAATTGTGGGATTATTTTTAGACGGGTCATCTTGAGAATCAGAGCTTCCTGGACTGTCATAACAACAAGTCATCCCCCTCCTACTCCTTCCCTCATTACCAGCCCTGTTGACCTTTCCTCTTGAGCTCGTTTTCTAGCCATACTGTGGAGCTATCGATTGGTTGATTCATTTAACAGGGATTAAGGTTTGTCCTATGACAGTCTTTATAAGGAGAAGATGGTGGAGACTTGAGATAATGGCATGGAGAACAGACTTAGAGAATTACGAGTTTCAGTGAACATGTACATGTGAAAAAATTGACATTACTGTTCACTTTAGTTCCTCACTCTCTGACTATCACAATTTAAGAGGATATTTTACAGAAAGGCTTTAAATATTCAAAGGCAGGCTGAATGTCTGGGAAATAAACCCCTCAAAATCAAGAACAAGAGACACTTAATGCATTTCGAACTACAGCCGTGTATGACAACTATATCACTTTATGTCTGACAGATTGGACTGTATTGTTCAGTTCCACAATTCATCAAGCATGTGACAGAAGAGCCCGAGGTTGGCGCGACATTTTTCATGAAATCTGAAGCTTTTAGTGGATTTAGCAACTTTCTAGCCTTTTCTATTTAAACGATTTCAGAAGCTGTGGGAGGGCGAAAGGGTGAGCGATGAAGTGAGGAATCACAATTAAATCAGAATCAGAATGAAACATCACTAAATATATCAATACTTGGCGAAAAAGAGCAGTCTGATATAATGGAGATAATAACTCCATCAAGGCAAGAATCACACACACACACTAACAAGAACTAGTGTGGCGGTGATGTGTTTTACATTATGCACCAGGCTGTAGACAGGTGTATGCCACATGCAGTGGGTGGCAAATGAGCTGCTCTACATTTTTATGAATGTTCAGCCTCTGAACTGAGACACTTTGTCGAGGTCAGCTCGTAAACCCTCACAGTGCCAATCTTTTTCCCATTTTGTAAGATTGCCTGTTGACTCCGGTGCCAGTGACTTCCAACTGCTACTTCAGATCTTTGATTTTCCACATTACTGGAGAAGAATAAAGCTATCTTTTATTGGTCTATTTGCTGGGGCTGATTGTGGGGATCCTATGTGTGAGGGTTACTGCAGATTACCTTTGATGGTAGGAGTTTACCCCTGGTCATGAAGTCTGATAAGACCAGAATGATCATCAATAATCATAAATAGATAAAATTTTAATTTAATTCACATCGTACAATGTATTAGTTGCCACTACTGATCCAATTAACAATTTATTCTCATTATTTATTTTTTCTCAATTGATTGAAAACTTAATCCAAAGAAAAACTTAATTTAGATTTATTCTGTTCTTTCATTGATATTTTGTTTATTATTTATCATTCAGGAGCTGGTTTTATAATTGATGTTTTTCTGCTTGTGCATACATGTACAGCACAGTGTGTTTTGCAAAAGCCGTGTGTCAACAGGAAGTGAGCAGCTGACCACATAGTGTCCATCTCTAAGCCAACTTGCCCTTCTGTCTTCCTGTCCCAGGCTGTCCCTGCTGGAAGAGTGGCGCGGTGTTCGTGATGAAGCACTGTCGGAGCTCAGTGGGATTAAGGACTGCATCTTCGTCCACGCTGGAGGCTTTATTGGCGGGAACAAGAACCAGGAAGGAGCCCTGGAGATGGCCCGGAGGACCCTGCAAGCCGCCGCCAAGTCCCCTGCAAATGGAAGCAGCTGAAGGGTCAGAGAGGACAGCCAAGAGCACATTTTGTTTCTCGGGGTCAGTCTATAGAGAGGATAGCAAGGATTAAAATGTTAGTTTGCCGCTTGTTCGTCCCAGCCAGGGCTAATGTTGTTTTATTCTTCCTTGCCAGGATGGGGATGGTATGGAAATGGCAGCCAAATAACCTTGGACCAGTTCCCTAATTACCTATATTCCAACACAGACTCACTCTGAATCATAATGTTGACTCAATGTCAATATTCTCTTTCTCTCTACCTGTTCTTATAAATGTAGGTCTGTTTTGTTGTTCATTTGCAATAAAAGACTATTTGGATTACATTCTGCCCTCATAAACATTTCAGTATTCGGTTAAATCCTGCAATAAAGCAATTGTTTTTCTAATTATGCTCATATCTCTCTCTTTTTTTCACTGTCAAGGGAATATGATAGACAGGCAGTCTGACTGACCAACATCTTCAAAGCCTGTGAATACCACGGTCTTACCTTTTCAAGGGTTGATTTATATAGACACCTGGACAGTGGTTCATCCTTTCATTTCCAGCATCCTGACATTAAATGTAACACTACAAAGAGAGGCAGAGGCTACTTCCGCCTGGCTCCAAGATCAAAGCGTCAATAATGAGGCCTGATTAATTCTGAGAAATTAAATTTTCCAACGCCACAAAGAGGTGCTCCTTATGGCAGCCAGTGTCGTGACAAGGTTACAGGCACTGGGACGAGCCGCACAGTCAATTTCCCTGTAATAAAGTCAGGGGATGTGCCTTGAATTTTCTCATTAATACTCTAGATTTTCTCCCCCCTCCCTATCTCTACCTGTTACTCTTCCCTTATTGCATTCTCCATGAGGCTGCCCTTCTGCTGCTCATGCCCCAACATAACATATTGCTGTACAATTGTTGTGCATTTTATTTCCATCAGTGCCAGTGTCACTGTAAATGCCGTAGCAGAAAGCAAATAATTCATGTTGTTACTTGCAGCTGTTAACGTTGCTCTGCCGCTTTTCTTTTTTCCTCATTTGTCATTCTTTGTGTTCAGTGGTGCGGACTGTTAATTCTTCAGTGACAAGATCCTTTTATCGTCTTTCTTTGTCATTCTTGGTTTCTGTCTTAATTGAAACAGAGATGCCTTTTATGCTGAGTGGATCTTGCTCAGAGACATTTGATGCCTTTAAGTCTAGTAATTTATTGTAATGGAATCGTCGTAATGATGCAGCTCTTTGTGTATCGTCTAATCTATATTTAGTCTCAAGTTATTCTTTCCCTTTTAGCTGAGAGTGTATTGGCTATTTTTAATAGCTCTGGATAGATATTCTTTCTCTTGCATCTTATTTTCCACACTACCTTTGTCTCACACACACATACACATTTTAGTGTTATTACTCAGCTCTCTATTGTACTGGATCTCAGCCAAGGTCTCAATCCAATCTATACACATTTGTGACAGCCTTTTACAGTCACATGGTTCATATTGTAATCACTGCCAACCAGTGCTGTGTTGTTTTGGGAGATACAGAGGATGACCCCCCCCCCCCCCCCCGCGAATACCTCACTGAAAGAAGCAGGAGACAGCAGAGGTATATTCACTACAGCAGTCTAATTGCAGACACTTTGAGAGAGAAACATCAAACTGAAAAGGTTAAAAACTAGCAATAATAATATGTATTGACTTGAGTTTCCAGCAACCACTCTGCCATTGCATGCACAATTTCAGTCTTATTCATGATCAAGTACACTTGCCTGATTGCTGTGCACAGGAAATCACAAGATGCTCTGACTGTATTTTAAAATTCAAAGCATCCTCAAAAGCCTTTACTGAATTTTTGTCTGTTATTTTGTGTGTTTTCTATATTCCCCTGCAGAACCACACAATCCTGCCAGCATTAAGTCCTTTCCTGCCACCCAAATTACCAACAAAGCAAACATTTTTAATACTTTGTTTTGTCAGCAAGGATCATTTTCCGTCTGCGTTGTGGTTTCTAATGACACAGCAACAGACCAAACCTTTGTGTTGGTCCTCAGTCGTAAGCATTTTCAGACTTCTCCAGCCCTGGCAAGTCCCAGTTGGCCACGCAGTGGAAAAATGGCTACTGAGAGTCTCAGCAGAACACCTGCCCCCAGCCTGACCTGTTGTTAGTGGATTCAGTCCCAAGAGAATGACAGGCTAGTTACAAGAAATGCTCCACTGCTTTTGTATCTCTCTTTCCCACTCCATCGAGCGTACTCAATATCGAGCCCGGACATGTGTCTTGTGGTTTCAGTCCTCATTTCTTTTCACGACACAGATAATAGACT